ATTTAAATGTATATGTTTATTTTATTAGAAATAAATTTTATTTTTTAATATATATATATATATATATATTGGATGAAAAAATATATGTGTATAATGGTAGTGAAAGCAAATGCTCCCACACTCCTCTATGTAGATCCATCCCTGTGTGTATCCGATCTCTGATTCTGATACTTATAGATATTTCAGTCACACGAATATGAGCGTGAAATATGCATGATTTTAATAAGATATTTTTTTTTTTTTCAAGTTCTTACAGATTTGCTTTTATCATTATTCAAAAGATATCATATAAATAGAGAATTTGTTTGTTTATAAACTCATATTTATTTTTTTGTTCTAATAATGTGCGACTTTGTTTGTAAAAAAATAAAATAAAATTTGTCCATTATAACAGGTAAGAAAATTGCGTATGTGTCATGGAAAAGCAGCTCTGATCCCTCGTCTGGGTACTTCACTGGGAGCCTTGAACGATTGGAAGCTCCAGAAGTGTTCTTTTGGTACAACAAAACGAAACCGTATTGGAGAACAGGTCCATGGAATGGAAGGGTCTTCCTTGGGTCACCAAGGATGTTAACTGAGTACTTATATGGGTGGCGTTTTGAGCCTAATGATAATGGAACTGCTTATCTAACCTACAATTTTGAAAACCCTTCTATGTTTGGAATCCTGACCATAACCCCACATGGCACACTTAAATTGGTCGAGTTTATGAACAAAAAGCATTTTCTGGAACTTGAGGTGGATCAAAATAGATGTGACTTTTATGGGACATGTGGGCCATTTGGAAGCTGTGATAACACAACAGTGTCAATTTGCAGCTGTTTAGAGGGGTTTGAGCCAAGGAATCAAGAGGAATGGAAGAGTAACAATTGGAGTAGTGGGTGTGTGAGGAATGTGCCATTGAATTGTGACAAGTTGAAGAATGGGAGTGATGTTGAACAAGATGGGTTTAGGGTGTACCATAATATGAAAGTGCCTGACTTTGCAGAGAGATCAAATGCTGGCCAAGACAAATGTGGAGCAGATTGCTTAGCCAATTGCTCTTGCTTGGCATATGCATATGATTCTTATATTGGTTGCATGTATTGGAGTAGGGACTTAATTGATTTGCAGAAATTTCCAAGTGGAGGGGTTGATCTCTTCATTCGTTTGCCATCACAACTTCTTGGTAAGTGGTTTCTCTCTTTTTCTTTTTTGGATTTTATAAGGAGGTATAAATCATTTTCATCAACAAGTCAAATTTTATAAAAGTAAAGTCACAATTTCATATCTAAAATGAAGATCAAATTTTTTATTTTGATTGAAAAGTGCAAGTGTCAAGTTTTGAGTTAAGATCTTTCGATGGTTTCTCTTGTTCTAATAATTCATAAGTATTTTGTTTCCATGTATCATCAATTTCACTATAGTGAGAGAAAATAAAATTTCAAAGGTTTTGACCTTTTGTTTTCACACGTAAATTAATGTATTGAATGAAATGCAGTTAGTGGTAAAAAGGGAAGAGATTCCAAGGGATTAATCATTGGCATTACCGGGGCAATTGGAGCATTGATAATTGCTGTTGGTGCTTATCTCTTGTGGCGGAAATGTACTCCTAAGCATAAAGGTAAAGTTGCCCTATTACCATTTCTTATGTATATTGAAGAGCATTCACATTTTTCATGTTCAAATGCAATAGGGTAGATCGTTAAAATGAGGAACACATTTTAAAGGACAAATCTTACTTATTTAACTAAATTAATAAAAACTATATATATTATATGTTTTTTTTAACGTCAAGATATGTTTAAAAGCCTTGCCAAAAGAATTTCATACATATTACTTATTTCATTCAAGTATTTGTGCTTAGAGCACTCCAATAGAGTTGCTTTGCTTAAATTAAGAAATGGTACTTTATTAATTTTTTTTCCAGTGTTGATGTAATTGCAAGGATGAATTACTTAAATTTAAGCATCATTTCTTTTATATATGGAACGATTGCTTATAAATAAAAAATAATTTATTGTTAAAATTTTAATAGTAAAAAATGAAAGGAAAAAAGTATAACAGTGTTTGTTGCTTAAAAGTTATACTATTAAAATAAATCGGCAGTGATTTGCTTAAATTAGGAAAGCCTTATTTGATCCACTTAAGAACCCAAATTCATAAGCACTGTTGAGATATTTTTGAGTTATTATCATATTTTTCAAACTTTATTTTTATAATAACTGGTGGAGATATCTCTCCATTTAATTTGATTAAATTATACTTTTAATTTTATTTTTATTTTTAAGAATTTATAATTTTAATCTTTCTATTTTAAAATAAAATATTAGTTCTCTTATTTTTAAAAATATGAATAGTTAGTTCTGTCATTAGTTTAATGTTGTCTAATAATATCTCATCACTTAAATGACATAATATTTAGTGATTTATAAATATAAAATTTAAATAATAAAATAAAAATAATTTTTGTTTATATATATTTTAATGAATGATTGATTTTTATTTTATTAATAAGTCTTATGATTTAATTTTAAGTTTCATTTTCTTTATAAATGACATATTACTATATTATATTGTTTAAATATGAATAAATACAAATTAAATTTAATGATTAATAAATGTCAATTTGACAGGAAGACCAAACTTTCATATTTTAAAATTAAAGAGATTAAATGTCTTTATTTTAATATATAGGGAATGAAATTGTGGATTGACAAAAATAAATAAACAAAAGTATAATTTAATCATTTATTTTTGAAACGTTTTGGAAGAAGATGGTTGTAAAAAAACAAATATTAAGATTTGAAAGATAGATAACTTTACATGAGAGTGAGTGTTTTTTTTTTTTTTGCATTTACTACATAAAAAGTAATTTTAAAATTATAAAGTGTATGGAGGGATAAAAAATGTTTCATAAAAATAGAAATTAAAAGGTAATTATTGAGATATATATCCCTTTATAATATATCAACATAAAAGAGGTACTATGTGTCTTTCTATATTTAAAAAATAATAAATAATAAATAATAAAAAGATTAAAAAAAATAATGAAGTAGGTGATTATTTAAAAAGTTAAAGAAATTTGGAGAGTGAAATTTATGTGAATGGGTTAGAAGTGATTATAAAAAGGTAAAATAATTCAAAAAAATATGTATATGAAAAAAGGTTATTACCTTTATTATAACTAGCATATAGAAGACACTTAATGTAATCGTGAATTATTTTTCAAAATAATAAATAATTAAATTTATATAATAATGTTTGTACAAGTGTTAGAAAATAATAATAAAAATTATAATTTATAAAAGATAGTTATTGGAATAAAATTATCTAAAAATATGAACACCAAATAAGATAATTCTCTTTATTAATAGTATATAAATATAAATATGTATCCATACTCATCATTTATCTTTTTCTTTGTGTTACATCACATTAACAACCTTAGTTTGTGATATCCATCTACCCCCAAGTATGATAGCAATAAAATTCATAAAATCTCAATTACATCCTCATACAAATTTATAAATAAAATACTCCTGTTTATCCGAGAAATAAGTAAATAGAGTAATAACAATTAATTCAAAAATGCTGAAATAACAAAGAAGTATTAAAATTCCTAAACTACTCCAAATTCCGGGTGTCACATTAGCATCAGATTCTACACACATCTAAATCTCTCCCTGCTTCTCCAAAGATTGGGGATCCTCATCTGTAAAACATACGAGAGACACACTAAAAACAAACAGGGAGTGAGAACAATCTCACTCTATAGATAATGGGTCGCAACTCTTGGAATCCCATCCCTTCACAGTTAACAATATATTAGTAACATATAATACTTCTAAATATAATAGCAACCATTCATACTTCAACAATATATCAACAATTCATACTTCAATTTCACTCATAAACATCAATTATTCCATTCGCAAACACATATACAGGAATGCAATGTCATGTACACTTATGTCTAAATGCATGGGGTACCAGACCATCACCATCAATATATAGTTGGTACTTAAGTCCCAAGTTAACCTTAGGCTACCAACACAAAAGTGTTCCCACCAAAACACCAATAGGTTCCCACCAAAATCACATAAATAGCAAGTTCCCACAGAACCACAGAATCGTGCAAATAAATGATGCATGTCACCACCAAGCAAATGCTTTCACATCAATATATCATGAACATATGATTCATCGTTTAACCAACATCTATATCCAACCACATCAAATGTCAACCATCTAGATAAAAAGAAATCATCTTTCATCAGGCATATATGTGTGTGTGTGTATATATATGTGTGTGTGTGTGTATGTATGTTTTCATTGCTCATATGTAATCAATCGTCCCACATCATAATAACATCATTTTAAACATCAACGAGGGCCTTCTGACAATCCATGCCCGCCATGGAAATCCACGTATAACTTTAAGCTACAACAGAGAGTACCATAGTCCTCTTGCGCCCAGCGTGGACATTTTCATGCCCAGCACTAACCCACAATAGAGAGCACCATAGTCTTTTCGTGCTCGACGTGAACATTTCAACGCTTGATGCCAACACTTTTGGGTAGTGCCTTCATTCACATGAAGGCACACCTGACATCAAACATCTGAGCTCGATGTCACATGTTCCAGCACCCAACACATCACATCAAAATAAAAAAAATCTCAAACAATTATCAATATAATCGACCATACAATTTATAAGCACTCAAAATTTGCTTTACATCTAGAAAATTCTCCAATTTTAGTGTCTACAACTTTTACCCCTTTAATTTCATTGATCTCTTCTTAGGGTTCTAACCTCTTCCTATAGAGCGCTAGATTAATTTCTATAAAACATCTAATCATCAAATCAATCACATATTTAGAATCTACTAAACCAATCGTATCAAACGCACACTTCATTTCATCAAACATAAAACTTATGGGATTGGGGGTGAATCCTTCTACCCTTCATGCATACACTCAATCTCCAAAAATGAGTGTTCTCACTCTCCCCTTACCTGGAGTGTTCAACGTACGAGCCTATTCTTCTTCCTATTCTCTGGTGATCCTTCTTCCTTTTTCTCAAATGTATTCTCTTCAGAGCACCCAAGCATTAAAGAACGTGAAATGAAATAAATGAATAATAATATCTCACTTTTTGCCTTCTCTTCTAATACATAACTCTTATTTCCCTAAATTTCCTCTTATTTTCATTATTTTTAATACTCTGCTGAATAATTAAATCTATTAAAAATTAAAATGAATAAAATAAAAATTATTAATCATAAAATAAAATAAAATCATTATTACCTCTCACATTAATAATTAAAAAAATCCTGGGGGTGTTACGTAGTTGATCATTGATATACTTTTTCTTATCTCTCTCAAGATAAGCATATAAACATTTATTTTTTAATTTGTTTATATTTTTTTACTACAATATTTATTACATCAAGTATAGGGCGAAAACCCAATTTAAATAATAGCGCCCGCCAATTTTGAACCAATCTTTATGACTACTAAGATAGTGTTATCTTAATCTTAATGTTGAAGTTAGGAATGTTGACTTATATATTTATCAAATGTATATCCAAAGCTAAGTCGTTGTCCTGTTTGGTAATGGCATAAGATTTTTCTGCGAAAATTGACAAATATAGGTAATTGGTAAACAACAAGTCGATGTGATGTGATGTGATGTGATGTGATATGAACGTTATAGATGGGATAAAAAAAAAATGAAAGTGTGAGGAGATAGAAGAAAACGTAAAACAAATTAGTTTTGGAACTTAAATATATTCCTAACATTGTTTGTTTGTTTACAATAGCATCTATAAAATGTCACAATTTTTATAAAATTTATTTATTTTAAAACTTAGATTAAATTATTTCTTTAAAAAAATTAGGATAAATTATATTTTTTCCTTTATTTTATTTTTAAGATTTTTTTTTTTATCTTTTATCTTTTTAAAAGCTTGGATCGATTTAGTCAATTTTGAAATAATAATTATTTTTATTTTTGTAAATGAATTAAAAATGATTCAATACAATATCTCAAAATTAAATACGATGATTTTTTTTAAAAAATTAAATCAACTCAATTTAAATAATACAGAATTAAAATAAATATTTTAAAAGATAAAGAACTAAAAATATATTTTAAAAGAAAGTTTATTCATTTTATCTGCTGATGAAGTGTATTATTTTTATTATAACAATAAAAAGTAATATTTTTATTTACTCACTTGATTCGCCTAAATACAATGAATTTTTGTTTGATCACCAATTCTTAAAAAATAAAATAAAATGGAATAACATGTACGAATATATTATTATGAATATAAACTATTAATAAATTAAGTATTAATATTTTTAATTTTTCTTAAAATTACATTATTAGTATATTATTATTTTTATTCTTTAATTTATTAAGGTTTAAATATTATTATGTGTTACATTAACCTATAACTACATTTTTTAACATTTATGAGAATATAATTGTAAGTAAAAGTAATTTTTAGTAATAAATATTGTGTTATTAAAAGATGTGTATCACTACTAGGTAATTTTGTAGTAATAATTTTTTTAGATATATAAATTTAGATTAGGATAACACGATTTCATATAAAGTCAGACTCAACTATCAACCTCTTTAATTCCACAAGTTATTTTAAAAAATGTATATTATGAATTTATTTGGGTCAAATAATATAAGTTTTTTTTAACATGTTAATGACCAATACCTTCAGGAAGTCAGCCTCAAAACTTGATTACCAAAGACCAAAAACAAATTAAATTGGAAGAGCTGCCACTTTTTGAATTTGAAAAGCTAGTAACCGCTACAAACAACTTCCACTTAGCTAATATGCTTGGCAAAGGAGGTTTTGGTCCCGTATACAAGGTAATATTTTTAAAATCATGTTTGTCAATCTTCACATTATATATATTGCATGAATCAATGTTAATTAATATTTTTTATTATCTTAGGGACAACTAGAAAATGGACAAGAAATTGCTGTGAAAAGACTCTCAAAAGCATCTGGACAAGGATTAGAAGAATTCATGAATGAAGTAGTTGTGATTTCTAAACTTCAACATCGCAATCTAGTAAGACTTCTTGGTTGTTGCATTGAACGAGATGAACAGATGTTGGTCTATGAATTTATGCCAAATAAGAGTTTGGATTCGTTTCTATTTGGTTAGTTCTCGTCTCTTTGCATTATGACTTTATTTTTGGCCTAACTTGTGAGTTGTTTAATTTATAGGTATTTTTGGTGTTATACTTAGAAAGAAAACATGACTTATGTTTTCATTAGAAAATAATACCAAAAATATATGTGTGTGTGAATGTCTAAGTATCATGCTTTCATTATATGTCGCATATAAGCTTAATTATAATTTCCTTTTATCTGTATATCCAAATGAAGCTCAGGAGACATTCTATTTTTGTAATTTAACATATACTTTTTTATTTAACATTTATACACACATACATAATAAATTTCATCATCGTTTTGATGTATTCTTTATTCTTGTTTATTTTAGATCCACTTCAACGGAAAGTTTTGGATTGGAAAAAACGCTTCAACATAATTGAAGGAATAGCTCGTGGAATACTTTATCTTCATAGAGATTCAAGACTAAGGATTATACATAGAGATCTTAAAGCAAGCAACATCTTACTAGATGATGAGATGAATCCAAAAATATCAGACTTTGGCTTAGCTAAAATTGTTAGAGGTGGTGATAATGATGAAGCTAACACAAGAAGGGTTGTTGGAACTTAGTAAGTAGTCTTTTTTCATATTACACATTACTATCATGGAATATTGAATATGATTTAATTGCTACTTATAACATGTACTCTAAATGTAGTGGTTATATGCCACCTGAATATGCAATGGAAGGAATTTTCTCAGAAAAATCAGATGTATATAGTTTTGGGGTGTTGTTGCTTGAGATCGTAAGTGGAAGAAGAAACACAAGTTTTTATAACAACGAGCAATCGCTTAGCCTAGTTGGATTTGTAGGTCTTTCTACCTTTCATATCTTTTTTTATTACAAAAGAAATCATTATTATGTTTAGTAATAATGTTTTGTTGTTTTTCCTAGGCATGGAAACTATGGAATGAAGGCAATGTTATGTCTATAATAGATCCAGAGATACAAGATCCAATGTTTGAAAATAGTATGTTGAGGTGCATTCATATAGGACTTCTATGTGTGCAAGAACTTACAAAAGAAAGACCAACTATATCCACTGTGGTTTTGATGCTTATAAGTGAAATTACACATCTTCCTCCTCCAAAGCAAGTTGCATTTGTTCAGAAGCAAAATTGCCAAAGTTCAGAGTCTTCTCAAAAAAGTCATTTTAGCTCAAACAACAATGTAACTCTAAGTGAAATTCAAGGCAGATAACACGGTGAGATTAACACTGCCATTATTAACCATAGTTGGTGTCTACGTCAAATTTTGCCAATATTAAAATTTAAGTCATATTTTTAATATTGGATAAAAATTTTCAACTGTTATGACTCTATTTATGTAATTTTACTGTTTATATAATAAGATTAAGAATAGTAAAAGCTACTATATTTAATTTTCTTAGCAACATTTTCTTGTTTACATTTATTAAAAATGTTACAATAGTTTGAGTTAATATGTTATTGCAACATTTTTTTAAAATGTTCCTATAGATTGAGTCAACACATTATTGTAACATTTTTTATAGGAGTAAATATTTCATTTTCATAATTTATCTATAAACTTTTACAATTTGCTTGTTTAGGTAATTTATCAAGATAATTCATTTTTCCAATGAACAAAAAATGTTGAATAGTAAAATATTTTGTTAAGGCAATATATTTGAAAAGTATTTAAAATTTAAAGCATTTTAATAAAGTATTTTGGTTAACCTAAAATATAAAAATTCAAATTCCTTTAAAAGGTAAAGAATATATAATTCATTGTTTTATCACTCTTTTATAATTCTTTGCTCATGTACAGTTGACTCTTCTCTTTCTCTCACTCACCTGCTAACATTGCTCTTTCTTTCTCTATCTTTCTCTCTCTCTCTTTCTCTCTCTCTCTCTCTCTCTCACACACACACACACACACATAAACACATTTCTTTTGCTCATGGATGCACTATTTCACTTTGTTTATTCTCTCTCTCGCTCTTTATTATTTCTTTCTTAGTGGTTCATACTAGGTTCATCTTACTCCCTTGTTTTCTAATGTCTACAATCTAGTGTTTGTTACTTTATTTCTATATGTTTATTTATTTGAGAGTGTTTGTGTTTGATTTTTTTTCTCCCATGTTAATAATATTAGCAATGAATCTAAAAAGTGAATCAAGATCTCAAAGGATTGAACATCAAGATTGCTAAGTTTAGCTATGTCTTTGAAGTGTGTAATAATTTCATATATAAACTTAAAGTGTTATTGTGTCATGAGGTCATACAAGCTTGATCAAACTAAAGTTTAAAAACTCAATCCACTTGAAGGGACATACGACTTTTCAAATTAAAAGAAATCAACTCATAATTAAAAGTGAAATTGAAAATATGTCATTTAAGTTTTAAAAGAAAAACTCGGTTTAAAATAAATTAATAAATTACAAATAGTCGTAAGATATTATGAGGGGTCATATTTGATGTTTTGAGGAAATTTGATCTTTCTATTTTAAACTATTATCACTTCATATGAATGATGTTTTCTATGTTAGTGCACCTATGAGTAATGGACTATATGTTCTAGATCTCGAAATTCCCATCTATAACAAATATGAAAAGAGGCAAACCAAATTATTTGAGTCCCACATATTTTTGGCAATTTCATTTAGGCCATATAAGTGAGAAACGCATCTCTAAGCTCCATAAATATGGACTCTTGGACTAATTTGATTTTGAATCATTTGAGGTGTGTGAATCTTGTCATTTGGGAAAGATAACTAAAGCCATATTCACTTGTGAAGGTTAGATGATTCGTGATCTTTTGGGACTAATACATAGTGATTTATATGGTCCACTAAACAAATATGCTAGAGGTGGTTTCTCTTACTTTCATTTACTAATTGTTTCTGTAGAGATAGATTTGTGTACCTTATGTGATACAAGTTTGAAACCTTTGAAAAGTTCCAAGAGTTCTTGAATGAAGTAGAGAACTAACTTGAAAAAAGTATTAAAGCCATACAACCAGATCATGGTGGCGAATACTTAAGCCATGAGTTTGATGACTAAGGGAATGTGTGATACTATATATCCCAATTCACTCTTCTAGATTGATAGGTTTGATTGATAAAAAATAAGGAGGTGAGAAATTAAAAGGTGGTGGGCTCCAATCCCTTTTCTCTCATCTCTTTCTTATATATATCTTATTTCTCACCTATTTCTCTTCCACTAAACAATTAAATTTCCACTTTATTCCTTACTTATTTCTCTTTCTCTTATTTTTCTCCACTTTATTTCTCACCTATTTCTTTTCCCTCTACCAAACACAAGCTTAGGGATTTCTCTCATGACATAAAATGATGGAAACTCCAAGGGTAAAGGTTAGACAAATTTCACATTGAAGTTCCTAAACCAAAATGATAGAAACTTCACGAGGAAAGGATAACCAAATTCCTCCTTGAAGTTCCTAGACCCCTTTTTGAACTTCCATTATCATTTTTCTTCAATAAGAAGATGCCAAGGATGAAAGACTTTTAGGTTTGGTGTGCAAACTATTAAAAGAAGAGTGAAACAAGAGAACTAAAACACTAGCCATAAGGGGAATTTCGTTGATGGAAGTACTTAAGGAGAAATTCCTCCAAAAATACTTTAGAGAGAATTTGTGAAGAAAATTCAGAAAATGAATCTCTATACTCATCTAAAGTGATGTATGTTACAATAAAAATGGCTTAAATAGACCTAGGGAGCTTATGGAGGAGGCTAGATTAACCGTGGTTCAAATGAACCATGGCAGCCTAACCATGGGTAGATTTAGGCGCCAAATTTGAATTCAAATTCAAATTTAGGCCCTAAGTTCTACTTCTCCATGTACACTGTAACGACCCACCCTAGGCCGTCACATCAATAACCATATGTCTCAAACCCACATAGCGGTTGTTCCCCATAATGACACATGCATGAAGTTAACTGCTCTTGAATGGTGCTATAAATCTGCGAAAGGTAGTCATTTACGAAGGTCGGAAAAACTCATACTTGAATAGAGCTCTCAAGCACTCTCCGCCTGCGCATATGGCTTTTGTGCAAGGAACCATTTTTGGGTATGGTTGCTTCTTGACCACATTACTTTTCTCTTCTTATATCTATTGTTCATTCTGTTTATTTGAGTGTTTACGTGCATGAACATTATTTCTTGGTAATCATTGACGAATATTTGGAAACCAGTAACTACTAAATCTTCCTCCTACGTTTTCTACCCTTAAATTAAATACCTAAATTGAAACTGTTTTGGTGCTAGTTCGAATATAAAGAGTCCACAAACGAATTTCACCGTAAATAAATTGGCACGCCCGGTGGGACACGTTTAAATTGCGAACATAATTGGACTAGTTTTAGGTATGCATGTTGTATGAGACTTAGGAGTGGAAGAACCATGTCTACGTCTAATGGTAGGAGGGAAACGAACAATGATAATCAAGTAGATGTAGAACAAGGAAATCCTAACCCCGATAATGCGACTAGTGTGACAAGGGGGGCAGCATCTTCCCCTGTTGTACTCGAAAATGTGCCTAGGCTTGAAAATGGGGCTAGACAAACTAATGTGACTCAAGAACTAGCAAATGTCGTTAGAGAGTATCCTTGGGATATGCCACAGAACTGGCAAAATACTCAACCTGTACATGTCGAAATGTCGGTACCTTTCTTAGGACCAAATCCACAAGTGCACGTATCCCCACAGGGATACAATCCTGGACCAAATGGTTTTGGTTTTGTCATGCAAGACCCATATCAACATGTAGGGACAAGTCAGGAAGGTTCCCTGATTCGACAGGGTAGTTATGTACCTACTGGTATTAGTAATCAAGCCATGATGTCTCTTCGACAACAGATGGACCATAGTAATCATGACATGGTCAATCTGTTGTTAATCCAAATGCATAATATAATGACGCCTTTGTATGAATTAATAAACAAAATAGGAGATAAATTGGGTGATGGGCCACCTTCAAGAGCCATGAGTGCAAATTTGAACGAGACGGAAAATCTAGGTGGGAATGGAATTTTTCCTCAAAACGTAATTCGACCTAATAGGTATCCTAATGATAATTTAGATCAAATGGTAGAACGGATACTAAATAGGCATGGTTTCGAGTTAGGTCGAAATGAACGTCCTTATTTTGTGTCAGCCTTTCCGGATCATGTAACTCAAGTAGAATTGCCTAGGGGGACAAAGGTCCCAAAATTTTCAAAATTTACGGGAGAATTAAATGAGTCTACAGTCGAACATATAGCTAGGTATGTAGTCGAATATGGGGATTTAGCGAACAATGAGTATTTAAAAATGAAGTATTTTCCGAGTTCGCTAACTAAGCACGCTTTCACATGGTTCACAACTTTACCTCCTAATTCGATAAATACTTGGGTTCAATTGGAAGGTAGTTTTCATGAACATTTTTTAGAGAAGAAACGAAAGTTAGTATAGTCGATATAATGAATGTTAAAAGACAAAGCCATGAAACGTTAGATGACTATTTAAATAGGTTCAGGCAATTGAAATCTAGATGTTATACTAATATACCTGAGCATGAATTAGTTAAGATTGCAGCAACAGGATTAGATTTCTCAATACGTAAAAAATTGGTAAATGAACAGTTGAGAGATATGGCTCAGTTAGCAGAAAAGGTTAGAAGGATTGAACAAATGAAGTTAGAAAAAGAAAGATTGAGAAAGTTTGTTAGGTTTGTTCGAAAAGAAAAGGTAGCCTATTTAGAAAATGCAAAGATGAATGAGGAGGTTAACTATGAGATTTCGAGTGAAGAATTTGAGGTTAACTTAGCAGAGTTACGCCCTGGTCCTACTTATCAGTGTCAAATGTTAAAACCAGGGGACAATATAGAAGGGAATTCGACCAAGAGATACAGTTTCGATGTCACTAAGGCTGATAAGATATTTGATATCTTATTAAAAGATAAACAAATTGTACTCCCAGAAAACCATAAAATTCCACCATTCGAGCAAAGAAAAGGGAAGAAATTTTGTAAATATCATAATATGTATGGTCATTGGACTAAACACCATGTCTTTTCTATCAATGTCTTAGAAGAGTCAGTGCCTTGTGGTGCCTTTTTGGTAGAGCTGTCAAAATGGGTTTGGCCCGGTGAGCTAACCTGGCTCACCACGGGCTGAAGTCGGGTTGGGTTAAAAAAAATTTAAAAATTTGAATGCGGGTCAAATTTGAACCTGGCTCACTAACAACCCGGCTCACCCAGGTTGAACCCATGATGAGTCGGGTTGGCCCACCAACCCGTGATTAAATTTTTTTTTTGACACCCATGTTCTTGTAGATCTAGGAAGTTAAATACATGCACCTAAATGTCATTTAGGCTTCATTAAGTGATGGAAACTTCAAGGAGGAACTCGATTGTTGT